GATTTTGTTCTTTAAAATTTATACACACACACGGAGAGAGAGAGAGAGAGAGAGAGAGAGAGAGAGAGAGAGAGAGAGAGAGAGAATAAATTATCTGTCTGTCTGTCTGTCTGTCTATTTTTTTGGTCTTTTTGAGACACAGGCCAGACCCAGCTGGCCTGGAACTCACTATGTAGACCAGGCTGGCCTTGAAATCACGAAGACCTGCCTGCCTCTGCCTCCCAGTGCTGGGATTAAAGGCGTGCGCCACCAAGTCCTGCTCTATAAAATATTTTTAATGGTTTCCTATTTTTGGTCAGGAGGGCATTTCTAAGATAAGCCATAATTGTCAAATACTTTTTTGTTGTTGTTGTTGATACTGGGTCTAATGTACTTCCAGTTAGCCTTAAACTTGATAAATAGCTGAGGATGACCTTGAACTTCTGGTCCTCTTGCCTGTATGTGATGGCTGATCTTGGTTATCAACTTGACTGGATCTGGAATTAACTAAAAAGTGGGAGACTTTCTTGAGCAGATTATTTGAATCCAGAAAACCCACCTTAACTAAAGACCAGCACCTCTTCAGGAATCCTCCAGGCCCTCAGACCAGACTAGGATTGCTGAGACATCCATTCTCATGGACTCAGCAACTACTGGATTCTCAGCCTCTCCAGTGTAACACAGCCATTGTTGGACTATCTGGACCCTACCCTGTAAGCCAATCTAATAAATACCCTTTTATATATATTTATAATTATATACATATTTTATCAGTTCTTTTCCTTTAGAGAGCCCTGACTGATCTACTGTACCTCCAAAGTGCTGGAATTATAGACATTTGCCATTCTCTCTGTCTCTCTCTCTCTGTCTCTCTCTCTGTGTCTCTCTCTGTGTCTGTGGTTTTTATTTTTATTTTTTTGGTCTTTTTGAGACAGGGTCTCCCTGTAGTCACAGCTGGCCTAGAACTCACTATGGAAACCAGGCTGGCCTTGAACTCACAGAGATCCACCTGCCTCTGCCTCCCAAGTGCTAGGATTAAAGGCATGCGCCACCACACCCGGCGTGTGTCTGTGTTTTGTTGGAGATTGAATTCATGGCTTTGCGAATGCTTGGCAAACACTGTATCAACTGAGCTACATCCCCAGCCCTTTCAAATACTTTTCTGTTTAATTATTTATACTATTAATTACTAGTAATTAACACTGCTAACAAGTTCTATTTTTTAAAAATCTTATTTATTTATTTATTTATTTATTTATGCACTTATATGTGCCTATCCCTATGTGCATTGGCCTTGAACTCACAGAGATCCTCCTGCCTCTGCCTTCCAAGTGCTGGGATTAAAGGCGTGTGCCACCACGCCCGGCCCTTATTTATTATTTTTATTTTATGTATATGAATGTATTGCCTGCATGTAGGTAGGTACATCTAGTGCCCATGGAGGTCAGAAGAGGGCATTGGATCCCTTGGAAGTGGAGTTACAGAAAGTTTTTAGCCTCCATATGGGTCCTGGGCATCGAGCCCTGGTCCTCTGCAAGAGCAGCCAGTGCTCTTAACCGCTGAGCCATCTCTCCAAGCCCAAGTTCTATCTTTTTATAATGATATAGATGGAACCCAGGGTCTTTGCACAGTCTTGGCAAGTGTCCTTCCAGTGAACTGTATCTTTAATAGGAGAGTATTTCCAGAGAGTAAAGATGGGAGTTCCTAGAAAGGGTCAGATTAGAGATTCTTTTTTAAAAGATTTATGTATTTTTGTTTTATGTGTGTGAGTGCTTTGCCTACATGTAAAGATGTGCTCCATGTGTGCCTGATGCCCTCTGGAAGAGGGCATTGGATTTCATGGAACTGGAGTTACACATGGTTGTGAGGTGTCGTGTGGGTACTGGGAACTGAAAGTGGGTCCTCTGTAAAACCAGTAAGTCTGTGTTGCAAGTTGGATCCTGGATTCCTGCAGACACCACAGGGTAGGACGTGAGATTCAGGCTTGTTGTGACAGCTGATGTCAGGGGTCATTGTGGGTCATTGGCAACAATGAAAGCAAGAACTTCCATATATGATCAGGGTTCCTGAAGGGGCTCAGGATGAAGATTTCTGTAGAGAAAGTCAGGTCTATTGTTCAGAAATCAGTTTATTGCAAGTAGGCTATATCTAAAGTACTTCAAGGAGGTGGAGGGGAGGGCTACAGCACAGTGGTATGACAGAAATGTTTCTACCTGAGGTCCAGACAGGACCCATAGAAAAATTGAGGCTCAGGACAGGTATTCCCATCAGGGGTGGTATAGAGGCTTCCTTACTGTGTGTGGTCAGATTCTAACTGGGCTAAGGTAGGGGCTGATGCTCCTGTTCAGGATCAGGATGAAATCCCTGCAGATCATTAGATAAAGAGCTTGTTCTTGGTGTGGTGGCTCATGCCTGAAGTACCAGCACTTGAGAGGCTTAGGTGGGAGGATTGTCATGAGTTCGAAGCCAGTCTGGTCTACATACTGGGTAGAAAGACAGCATGGGCTGCAGAGTAAGATCCTGTGTCAAAAAAAATGAGAAAAGGGGGCTGGAGAGATGGCTCAGTGGTTAAGAGCACTGGTTGCTCTTGTAGAGGACCTAGGTTCTAGTCTCAACACCCACATGGCAGCTAAGAACTGTCTGTAATGACAGTTTCAGGGGATCCAATGCCTTCTCTGGCCTCCACAGGCATTGCATGCAGGCAAAATACTCATTACATAAAATAAAAATAAATTTAAAAAATTTAATAGCAGGTGGAAAGATAGCTCAGTAGTTAAGAGCTCTGGCTGCTCTTGCTAAGGATCAGGGTTTGATTCCCAGCACCTACACAATGGCTAACAACTGTCCATAACTCCAGTTCCAAGGGATGCAACCTTCTTCTGACCTCCATGTGGGCATTGTAGGGGCTACAGGGAGACCCTGTCTCAAAAAGACCAAAAAAAAAATCTTGTTAGTATGCAAGTTTGCTTTCATCCTTGATAAATGATAAAATTATTTTTTGTTTGTGTGTGTGTGTGTGTGTGTGTGTGTGTGTGTTTGAGACAGGGTCTCCCTGAAGCCAGCTGTCCTGGAACTCACTGTGTAGACCTGGCTGTCCTTGAACTAACTGAGATCCCTTTGCCTCTGCCTCCAGAGTGCTGGGATTAAAGGTGTGTGCCACCACGCCTGGCTGATAAATGATAAAATTGTATAGATACCAAAGAATTGCTTTAAAATGAATATCTTTATGATTTATTATCATAAACTATTTGTATACTTTTTTTTGTTTTTAAAGAGAGAGACTCCTGTATCCCAGGCTGGCCTCAAAATCAATAGATAGCCAAGGATGGCCTTGAACTTGTGATCCTTCTGCCTCCACCTCTTGAGTGCTGGGATTACAGGTGTGTACCACTATGCCTAGTTGTATAACTATTTTATATAGCATATTACTGGGGCCACATAAAAATTTCTGGGATGAAAACAGATTGCAAATAGAAAAAGTTTAAGAAGCTCTTAACTAAAACACCAGAGCTTCCAAGCCTGTTGCCAGGCCCATGGCAATCACTCAAAAATAGTGCCTCTTGCTGAGGGGGAAAGTGATGAAGACAGACTCTGGGCCAGACTCCCAACTCTGCTAAAATGTGTGACCTTGAATGAGTCTCTTTACTGAACTACCTGTCTTAGGATGTTCCCAACTCAAAAGTATACTCTTATCTACATGTTTGTCTATTTCTTTTAAGTCTTCTAAAGATCTGATTTATTTTTATGTCTATGAGCGTTTTGCTTGTAACTATGCCACATGCAGTGTCCACAGAGGCCAGAAGAGGGTGTTGGATTCCTTGGAGCTGGCTTTGCAGACTATAGTGAGCTGATCTTTTACAAGAGCAGCAAGAGCTCTTAACTTGTAAATCATCTCTCCAGTCCCCTGGCCCATGTTTGCTAAATTGAAGACCATATTTCACTTTGGGAGAGCTGTTCACTCAGGTGAATAGGAGTGTGAGGAGGTACTTGACAGTGTGGCACTCCCCACCTATAAGTTATAAAATTCAGAGGCTATTTTTGTTTTTGTTCTTGTTTGTTTGTTTTGGGATAAGGTCTCATACTGTAGCCCAGGTTGGCCTAGAACTCACTATGTAGCCCAGGCAGGCCTCAAAGTGACAATCTGCCTGCCTCTTAGTCTCCCAAATGCTAGGATTATAGGCCTGAGCTACCACATCCTATTTCAGAGTCTATTATGTCTTTCAGTCTCCTCTAGTCTCTTCTATTTCCCACAGTGGTGCAGGCTGAACTGGGCTGAAAGAGATGAGGTGATTTTCAGGAAGGCCCAGGGACCACCCCACACTGGAGCTACCAGCCTAACCTACACTTTTCCACTTTCCTTTCCTGAAGACTGCATCTTTGGTCTGGTGGAAGGGGATCCCTAATTTACACAATGGGAAACTGTGCATGTTGATAACTCCACAAATGTACATAGAACTTCTCACGTTGTTAGTCCTTAGACACACCATGATATGGCACTGCTACATGATACACATATACACACCTATTCATATACATTTTGTTTTGTTTCGTTTCTTTGAGCAGGGTCTCCCTGTTGCTCTAGCTGACCTGGAACTCACTATGTAGACCAGGTTGGCCTTGAACTTACAAAGATCTGCCTGCCTCTGCCTCTTTAAATACTTGGTCCTTAGCTGGTGGCACTGTTTGGGAAGGTTGTGGGTCTGGTTGGTTGGAGGTGGGTCATTGGGGATGACCTTTATGGGTTTTAGAACTCCCCTGCTTCTAGTCTCATTCTCTGCTTTCTGTTCTGGCTGTCATGAGAGGAATCTTGTTATAGTTCCCACCACTGTGAAATCTTCTTTGCTTTCTCTGACATATGTATAGAAATCCCTTTGAAACTGTGAACCAAAGTAAGTCCTTTGCCCTTCAGTTGCTACTATGAGGTATTTTGTCACAGCAACAAGAAAACTAACACCTTCACAGCCATACTATTTATTATACCTCATACTGGCATGCACAGTTCTTGCTCAGTGTTTCACAGATATTTACCCAGCAGGTTCTCTGCCAAAGTGTATGTATTGTCATACTGTTTCAACAATCACCCAGAGTCATGCACAACCACACAACTATAACCTCACATACTTCATCACCTACACATATTTCCACATGCTGTTACCTCATGGTGTCACCCTTGCGATCTCACACGACTTCACCATGACATATGGAACCACCTGGATGCTGTCAACAAAGCCTCACATATACCATCACATTTACACATTGTGATTTTCAGTTGCGAAATATTATATCCATTACCTAGCTCATGTAGTCATATATTGCAGCTGGATGCAGTTATTGTAGAACCATAGACACCACTACACACTCCACCTGACCTTGACATTTATTTATTCAGCCAAACTCACAACTACAGTTTCAAGTCTTTGGTAGCTTTATTTTACAAAAGATTTGAAGGTACAGGCAAGAGGCTGTCTAGGGCCCAGATGGTTAGATTATAAAGAATGATGATGGCTCTAAGAGGAAGGGGAGCCAGATATGGTGGTAGATGCCTGCAGTCTCAGCACTCAGGAACTGAGGCAGAAGGATCTCGAGTTTGAGGTCAGCCTGAACTACATAGGGAGCTCAAAGCCAGCTTGGGCTACATAGTAAGACCCTGTCCCAAAACAAAACAAAACAAAACAAAACAAAACAAAACAAAACATGCTAGGCATGCTCGTGCATGCCTGTAATCCCAGTACTTGGGAAGTAGAGGCAGGAGAACCAAGAGTTCAAGTTCATCCTCAAGTACATAGTTTGGGGCTAGCCTGGGTACATGAAAATCCTGTCTCAAAAAACAAAAGAAAGAAGAAAGAAAAGACAAGGGGGAGCATCACCTCTGCCCTAAGGCCAAGGCCATTCTGTGTACCTTCAAGAGCTGAGGGGAGCCACCACAGTGGTACTGGTGGTGGAAGGCACAGGACCTGTGGGGAAGGAGGCTGTAGGCGATCCCAACAGAGGTCCAGGGAAAGGCATAAGATGGCTGACAGGCCCTGATAGCACCACGGGCCCCAGGCCTTGATAGAGATGGGCAGTACCTGTAGTACCCAGTGTCAATCCTGAGGCCACCTCCCCACAACTCCCACTATTACTGCTACCAGCTACCACCATGAAGCCACCAGCTGGTCCTTCAGCTGGTCCTGCTCCACCCATACTTGACCCCCGCTTCTTTTTCCCTTTTCCAGATGCCTTGCGGTTCCGAGTCTGAATTCCATCCTTCCGCATGGTGAGTGGTCGGTTTACCTGCCAAAAGGGAGACAGCAGTGTTGTCAGCTCTAGCCTAGCCTTTGTGCCTCTATGTCTGGGCTAGGGACACCCTCTCAACTCCACTTTTTAAAAAAAATTTTATTTATTATTTTTATGTGTATGAGCGTATTGCCTGCATGTAGGTAAGTGCACCCATGTCATGCAATGCCCGCGGAGGACAGATGAGGCTCTCAGATCCCCTGGGACTGGAGTTAGGGACAGTTGTTAGCTGCCATGTGGGTGCTCGGATTTGAACCTGGGTCTTCTGCAAGAAAAGCCAGTGTTCTTAACTGCTGAGCCATCTCTCTGGCCCCTCAACCCCACTTTTTTAAGAATAGGGAATTGGTTCAAGGGCTAGGGTAACACATCCAGTACTAGCATAGATAGGGGCCTAGGAAAGCCTGTAGTTGTAAGGCTCTGAGTTTAGAATAGCCTCTTGAACTGATAGGAGCTCCCCAAGACCTAGGACAGTGGAGTGGAAGGAATGATTGGAGGTGGCAATAGGAGAGACAGGAGAAGAAAGAGCAATGGAAGGGAGGAATGAGATGGAAGGAATGGTAACAGTGAAGGAAAATGAAATAGGAAAGGAAGGGGGCCATTAAGATGGAAAGAGATGAGGGAAGAGGAAGGAGCAAAGGAAGCGAAGGATGAGGAAGGAAAGGAGAGAGGAAGATTCTGAGTGAAAGAGAAAGTTCAAGGTAGATTAGGACCAAGTGAGGTATGACTGTACCACCATGGTGGGAGGACAGGCTCTGAGGGATGAGTGTCACCTGGTGTAGCTTGTAGTAGAGGCCACAAGCATTGCACACTGGATCTCCACTGGCATTTCTCCGCCAGAGTGTTGTGGTGGTTGTTTGGCAGTTGGTACACTGAGTACCTGCCCGTTTGCTGACAATCTGGGGGACAAAAGGATATGAGATCAGTGCTCTGCAGAGGTGGAAGTGGACACAGGGACTCACAGAGCTTGAGATGAGTCACACTGAAGGCAAGGGTTCTTATCTTGGATAGAAGAGTTTATTTTATATGAGACCACCTCCATCCATGGTTTTCAACTTTAGCCACATATCAGAATCTCTCTGGGGACGCCAGGCATATGGTGGCTCACACCTGTAATCCCAGGACTCAAGAGACAGAAACAGATGGGAAGATCGCCATGAGTTGGAGACCAGTCTGGTCTATATAGTTCCAAGCCAGCCAGGGCTATATAGCAAGACCCTGTTTCAAACAAAACAAAACAAAACAATCTTCTGGGGAATTATAAGAAATCCTAGCTGGGTGTGGTGGCATACGCCTTTAGTCCCAGCACTTGGGAGACAGAGGCAGGCAGATCTCTGTGAGTTCAAGGCCAGCCTGGTCTACATAGCAAGTTCAGGCCAGCTGGGGATACAAGGACACCCTGTCTCAAAAAGGCCAAAAAACAAGGCCGGGTGTGTTGACGCACGCCTTTAGTCCCAGCACTGGGGAGGCAGAGGCAGGCGGATCTCTGTGAGTTCAAGGCCAGCCTGGTCTACATAGTGAGTTCCAGGATAGCTGGGGCTACAGGGAGATTCTGTCTCAAAAAGACCAAAAAAGAAAAAAAAGACCAAAAAACAAAACAAAACAAAGACATCCTGGAGCTGAAGGGGTATAGCTCCATGGTAGAGTGCTTCCTTAGCATGCATGGCTCTTGGGCTCCAACCTTAGTACAAAATCCTTTTGCCCAGTTCAATGGTCATCACTTCTGGAAGAAGGAACCCAGAGTGATTGTAATGTGAATCAGAGATGAAAACTCCACTGTTAAAGGCAAGGGCAGAGGCTTCAGCACAGCTTGAGGTTACGGCTTCTGTTTGAAGCCTTGAAGGGCAGATAGAGGATGGGAGTTCAGAACAGGGATCCTGCATAGGAAAGGGATGGAAGTTCCCTTTTAAGAAAGAATGAGGTTGAGGGCAAGGATACTATGTACAGGGACAGGCAGGAATTGGTCAGGAGTTCTATACAATGGGAGAATGTGGATTCTTGTCATGGGTAGGAACAAGTCTCCTATACAGGTGAGGCCAGCCTGTGATCTTACCAGTCTCTTCTTAGGCCGGATAAGGGGCCGGTTCTGGCCATTCATCTTGTGATACAGGCCACAAGCATTGCATAGGTAGTGGCCTGTCCTGTCCCTCCGCCACAGTGGAGTAGCTGTTGCTCCACAGTTCACACACTCCCTGGCTTCTGGTAGGGTGAACAGAGAGAAGAGAAAACAAGGCTCAGCTTAACTTTGCTTTGGGCCACTCAGCAGCTCAACCTCCCTGTCCCTTTTTGAAACCCTTACCGCAAGGGGCCAAGGGTAGGCTTCCATGAAATTTTGGGGAGGAATAGGCTGCTGAACTGAGAGGGCTCCCAGTGGGAGAAAAGAAAGGACTAGGAAAGTCAAGCCCCCCATAAGCACTGCTGGTGACAGGTAGTGATGCAGGCAGAGAGGTCCCTAGGGTCAAGAGGTCTGGACTTAGTCTCTCTGTCTTCAAGGTCTCCAAGAAGGTGGTGCTGCTCTTCCCATCCGGGTCTTCCAGTGCCTGGGGAGGGGCATCCTCGTGGCTGGGGCACACAGTTGAAGCAGGGTAGAGCCCGGTCTTGCTGTAGGCCCAGCCAGCATAGGGTGAGCCCCCTGGGATTCCCTCCATACAGTTGAGCAATGGGTACACCTGAAAAACTGTTGGAGGGGTGTGGGGAGGAAAGAGGAAAGAAAAAGAGAGATAAACCTAAGATAATCTCATTTTCAGGGTACAATGATATCCATCAGTCCCAACATGGTGGCCGGCCAGGTTTCCAACCTTCTTCACACAACTGATGGCCATTAGGTGACTCTTGGATCCTGAGCCCCATTGGTCACTACAGCTACTGTAATACCCTCCAATCCCCTCTGTCTGGGATTTGGGGATGATTTCTATTGGGATTGGGTGCATACAGGTCAACTGACAACTAAGGCAGCTAGTACATACTTCCAACTTTGCTTCTCAAAATTGGCCACTCCAATATGGCAGGCTGAGAAACACTGGTGTTCTCAAAGCTGGGCTTAACTTGGGGAAAGGGGTCATCATATCCACATACAAAGCTTCTAATCATTTCCAAGATGATCTCAGTGGAATTCTGACCTAGCAGGATCTATATGGCAACGCCAACAATATCCAGTCAATGCCATGATAGCTACCCAAAAGAGTTACCTGGAGAGTGTCTGTAGGCCTCAGTATCTCTGTAGTAGGCCAGTGCAGTGGCTGCAGCAGTGGCTGTGCTTGGGGAAGTGGAAGAGGCTGCTGCATCCAAACCCTCCGGCCCAGAGGGGAAGAAGCCCCCTGACTCTGGTGTTGAGGACACCAGGGCAGAATTTACAAACTGGGGCAGGGCTTCTGAGGCTCCCACAGCCCCTAGGCCAGGGAACTCCATGAGGCCACTGGGGCTTAACCTGTGAGGACAGGAAGAGTCATCAAGCACAGAAATCCTTATCCCTTCCCGTCTTTCCGTCTGTTTCTCTGCCTTCCTTTTCTTCTACTATACTACTTTCCACCTCTCAAATTCCCTTCCTCTTCTTCCCTCTTCTCCCTTCCCACGTTGTAATTTCTCTTGTCTCTCATTCCACCTCACTTCCTATCCTTCCCTCCTTTCAACTCTTTCCCATTTTCCCCTTATTAACTCACCGGTCTTTTGTTCTTCTACCCTCATCCATGCCGTCATCTTCCTTCCCTTCACTCCCTCTCTTCCCCCCCTCCCCTCCTTTCTCCTTCTCTCCCATCTCTCTTATTTCCATGTCTTCTTTCTTCACTCCTCTTTTCCATCTCTCTTCCTTCTTCCCATGCCATCTTGTCTGTTCTTTTTTTGTTCCATCTTCTTTGCTTCCTTGCCCCTCCCTTGTCCCCCTTTCCTCCTCTCCCCTCATTTCTTTTCTTCTCTTACACCCTCCTTTTCCTGTACTGCATCTCTCTTCCCCTTTCTGTATCTCCTCCTTCCTTCCTCCACTACTAAAAAAGATTTTATTTTGCCAGGCGTGGCAGTGCATGCCTGTAGTCCCAGCACTTGGGAGGCAGAGGCAGGCAGATCTCTGTGAGTTGGAGGCCAGCCTGGGCTGCATAGTGAGTTCCAGGCCAGCTGGGGCTATAAGGAGACCCTGTTTCAAAAACACCGAAAAAAAAAGATTTTATTTTATGTGTATGAGTGTTTTGCTGGCACATATGTAAGTTTACCACATGTGTGCAATGCCCACAGAGGCCAGAAGAGGGTATTGGAGCCCCTAAAACTGGAGTTATAGACAGTTGTTAGCCTCTATGTGGATACTGGGAAGCAAACCCAGGTCCTGTGCATGAACGGCAAGTGCTCTTAACCACTGAGCCATCTCTCCAGCTGCTCTTCCTCTTTTAAAAAGGATTTTATTTTTATTTTTAAATTATGTACACTTGTGTGTGTCTGTGTGTATGTGTGTGCATGTGAGGGCAGGTGCCTTCAGAGACCAGAAAACGGTAACAGATTCACCTGGAACTGGAGTTACATTTGTGGGCCAACCCACATCAAGGCCAGGAACTGAACTCAGGTCCTCTGGAAGAGCAGCAAATGCTCTTAAACACTGAGCCATCTCTCCAGCCCTTCTTCCTCCTCTTTTTATCCTCTTTTCCAGCTTGTAACCTTCCTCTTCCCTTTCCCTCCCCTCCTTTTTCATCCTTCTTTCCCTCTTTCTTGAACCTTTTCCTCTCTCTCCTTTCTTCTCCTCATCTCCTCCTCCCCTACTTCCTCTTCTTATTCTCTCTCTTCCCTCTCCCTTCCTTCCCTTCTACAGAAGAGTCTGGGTAGATTTAATCCCAGCACTCAGGAAGCAGAGGCAGGTGGACTTCTGTAAGTTCAAGACCAGCCTGGTCTACGTAGTAAGTTCTAGGCCAGCTGGGGCTACACAGGGAGACCCTGTCTCAGAAAGACCAAAAAAAGACAAGAGTCTGAGTAGGGGTGGGGTACATAACCTTGGTCCCTTGGACCCCTTGAAAGTTCCCTCAGGACCTTGGGGTTCACCCTTTTGTGCTCCCCAACTTCATCCCTATCTGCAGCATCTTGCCATCTGACTTTCTCAGAAACCCCATGGTTTCCGGCTTCTCTCCCCCTCCCCCACCCCAGTTGGATCTGCAGACGGAGGGCCCCCTTAGTTCCTCCCTGCTCCATGCTGGGGGGGGGCTTAGCACCCTCACCCTGCACCGCTTATCTCTGCCATCCCCACCCAACTTTTGAAATCACCCTAAAGCTACTGGCTTCCTCTGAGAAGAGTGACAGGTGGGAGGTGTCTCTGGTATTCTTCCTCCTGGGGAGGAGGGTCTGCTTTTAGGAACTTCTAAGTCCCACCACTCCCAGACCTCAGTTTCCCCATCTTCTGTATTAGAGGTGGTACAGCAGATGAACTAAGAGTTGAGAGAGAGCCTTTTACTTTTATCTTATCTTACATGTCTGTCTCTTTAGCTTTCTGCCTCCCTGGGTCTCTTCCTCACTGTTTCCTTTCAGGTCTGACTTCAGATTTCTCCTATATACTCCTATGTTTCTAGGATATACTGTTTTTAAAATAATTTATCTTTGTGTGTATATGTATGATGTACGTATGTGTGTCTGTGTGTGTGTGTGCCTCTGTGCCATGGTGTACATGTGAAGGTCAGAGGCTTCCACCTTTTTTTGAGACTGGGTCTCTTGTATTTTTCTGCTATGTATAGCAGACTAGGCAGCCTGTGAACTTCTAGTGATTCTCCTGTCTTCACTTCCTATCTCCCTATAAGTGCTCTGGGATTACAAGTATGCGGGCTACGTGTCCAGATTTCACATGGATTCTGGGGATTTGAATTCAGGTCCTCACATTTTTCAGTAAGTGGTTTATCCACTGATCCATCTCCCTAGCCCTTAGGGTGTATCTTTATCCTCTCTTTGTTTCTGTGCTTTTATGAATGTATGCTTTTCCCCTGCCTTCTTTTGTCTTCCCGTGTTTATCTTTCTCTGATATTTCTCCCCATCTTTCTGTCTGTATCTCTTTGTGCCTCTCTTGGCATTCCTTCTCTGTATCTGTTACTCCAGCTTTCTCCTCTACTCATATTGCTAAACATCCTGCATCTCTCCAGCTCTGCTTCTTTTTCTGCCTCCCAGTGTCTCCTCTTTCTATTTATTTCTCTGAGCTCTTGGTCCTATCTTACTATTTCCATATCCTTCCATGTGCCTTATTGCCAGCAGTCCAGGAAAAGGGATCAAAAAACCTGCCTCTGGTCCTGAATACTCCATGCCCTGTCTGTAGAGAAGAGTGACAGAGTATAAAGGCCACCTTCAGTACCAATTGTATAGATAGGCCAAGGGCTAGGCCTAGGGTTGGGACTGTGCTGGGGACAAGACAGCTCTTGATTTCTCAACCTGAGTTCCCACCATCTCTCTTGAGACAAAATGTTCTCCCTCTTAGTCCCCAGCTCCCCTTCCATCTCTTTCCTCCCTCTCTAATTCTTTGTCTCTGTCTCTCCATGATTCACTCCCCCCTTCCTCCCTCCCTCCTTTGTTCTATTTCTGCCCCTGCTTTCTTTCTTCTCTCCGTAGTCACTCTGGATCACTCTTTTTCTTTCTTTCTTTTTTTTGTTTGTTTGTTTTTGGTCTTTTTGAGACAGGGTCTCCCTGTAGCCCCAGCTGGCCTGGAATTCACTATGTAGACCAGGCTGGCCTCGAACTCACAGAGATCTGCCTGCCTCTGCCTCCCAAGTACTGGGATTAAAGGCATGCGCCACCACACTGAATCACTCTTTTTCTACTCATTCTTTGAGTCTATGTTTCTCCTTCCTCTTCATGTCCCTCTTGCCTCTTGTTTTGTTCCTGTATGCCCCTCTCACTCCGCAGTTCTCTTAGTTCCTCTCTTCTCTCTCTGCCTCACTATGTCTCTTGCTGTCTTCCTGTCAGCTTCCCTCCCGCTTTATAGCCTACCCTGTACTTCTCACCTTGGTGGGTCTAGGGCTGCCCACCCCTCTGGTAGCAAGGGCCCACCCCCACCCCAGTTATCACTCTCCCAGACAGAGATAAAGTTTATCTCGAGGCTGGGGGATATGAAAGCTCCTTATCAGCTGCTCCACTAGAGAAAGTGCTGCCCTAACTAGGAGGCACAACTGCGGTACCTTCAACTCTCCCTGGGCCCAGCCCCTCACCCCAGGTAACAGCCCTAGCCCAGCCCTCAGCGAGGGTCCCATAGGGCTGAAGGAGTCGGAGGCAGGATCTTGGGAGCAAATGTGGTACTTAGGGGGTTAGAAGTGGAATTTGGGGGTCAGATGTGGGGTTAAGAAGTCAGAAGTGTGGGGTATAGCTGTGGAGTTTGGGAGAAGCAAATACGGGGTTTGAGAAACAGAGCTGAACTTAGAAGCAAATTTTGGGTTCAGAAATGGGTTAGGAAAACATGAGGTAGGGAATCAGAGGTAAAGTTTGACAGTCAGCTGCAAAGTTGGAGATGTAGTTCCAGGGTCAGAAATGGATTCTGGGAGTCATGGGGAAATGTAACCGTGCTAAGGGTTTTTCTAAAGCAGCTATTGTGTTTAAGAGGTAGAGATGGACCTGGGGAGACAGAGCCATGGCTGATGACTGGAGATGGATTCTGAGAGCACAGGAAGAGTTGAAGAAGCTAAGACAATTGGGGTAGAAGAAGTGTGGAACCAGGGGATTCAGTGGGTAAAAACAGGTTTTAGGGCTTGGGTTCATGTGGCAGAACAGATTTTAGGGGAGCACACTTAGTGACTAGAGTAACAAACACATTTTGGCCAACAGGCAGGGGGAGGGAGCAGTTTGGGGAGGTCAGAGAAAAGACACAGGGAGCAGACATAGAGATTAAAGCTAGGGTCTGACAGGTCAGGGACAGATTTGGGAGAGCCAGAGACAATGAGATAGTAACAGATACTGACTTGGGAGCAGATATAACAGCCTTGGAAAAGCTAAAGTGAGGTTTCTCAGGAGAACTCAGAGAGAGAGAGAGAGAGAGAGAGAGAGAGAGAGAGAGAGAGAGAAAGCTTGGGTCAGTGGAAATCCGATTTGGGTCAGAGATAGGAGTTTGGGGGATAAAAGCATGGTTTGAGGGGCAGAGTTGGTGTATATGGAAGGCATACCTGGGAGTATGAGGAGAGAAATTAAGGGGTCAGAGGGCATAGAATCTTGGAAGAAATGGATGGGAGGGTAGACAAAGGAGCGTTGTAGGGGAGAGATGGAGGATGAGACACAAGGAGTCTGAAGAGCTGTGGAGGAATTCAAGGATGACCCACACTTTAGGGGCAAGCTGTGGGTCAGAGAGCCTGGAGCAGGCTGGGGCAACAGGCTGGGGGTTGCCTTGCTGGGGGCTCTTTAGGGGTTGAGACTGACCTGGGCTGGTTGATGCAGAGAGTTCAGACACCTTATGGATGTGGTGAGCTCAGTGTGATCTCAAGGGATGTCCTTGCTGGCCTTGGCCTTTGAGGCTCCCTTCCTCCCTCCCTCTCCCCAGCCCGCCTTCCCTTCCTCCCACCTTCTCCCTCCTCCCTCCTCCCCAGGGAGTGGCTGGTGCCTCAGTGGGTGGGGCAGCACAGGGGAGGGGGCGTGCCCCCTGCTTGTGGAGGATCTCTTGGGCACCAATGGCTCTCCACCCTACCTGTGTACCCTGTGGATTGTTGGTTTCCGTTGGTGTCGCGCTGCCATGGACTTCAGTGTCCAGCCAAGTCATATGAACTCAAATCAAGATAAAACAAAAATATTAGATATAGTTTCATGACTCTACTAGAATTTTCAGTGAGGAAAGCCCATACTGTGCTAGCCTGAGTGTGGGCTGGACGCCTATGCATGCGAGCCTTCCTGGCAGCAGGCAGAAGAGGGAAGTGGCTGTACCCATTTTGCAGGTAAGAAGAATGAGGCTCAAAGAGAGGTCTGGGAGAGTTTGAACCAGAGCCTATAGGCCACATTTATGAACCAGGCTCAGTGAGTAGGCCAGGGCTGATGAGTGAGGGCACACTTCAGTGTGTGGGGTTTGCACTTGGGGCTTACGCCAGCACCAGCCTGCCTTGGGGCGGTAGATAAGTCTTATCAGATGGAGGCGACTGTGGCTGTTGGTGCCGCAGTAACAGGCTGTCTTGGGGTTGAGGGGGCAGTGTGGGGAGGCACACAGGGACAGTGGCCTCAACTTCTTGCCCGCCATATGTTAGAGGCGGGAAACTGAAGCGATACCCAGAGTGGGGTCCCCTGTGAGTCCCTGAGGTTTGGATAAGATGACAAACAGGAGGGATAGGACGGGAGAGACCAAGAGGCAGAGACAGGAGCAAAGGTATACAAAGTGATGAGAATGAGGAGAAAGAGATCCGAAGAGCCTGAGACAGTTAAAATGAATATGTAGAGAGAGGCAGAGATGGACAGAAGGTGAAAGAAAAAAACCTGGAAATGACAGAGGCCGGGGCACAGATGATGAAAGAAGGAAAACAGAAACACCATTGTAGAGAGGGACAGCGATAGAGATATTAAGAGACAGAGCCTGAGGACACCCCCCTCCCATGGCTGTCTGGGATATGCCTGGTGCTGGTGGCACTGGTTTGGGTGACATGGGAATGGAGACTGATGTGATCTATGGGCTCTGTTCTCAGCCTGCTGTGAGGGGACACCCCCTACCTTGGTCACTGAATGCTTACAACCAAGACCCCACCCTCCTGCCCTGTTGGTGTCTCATACCCACATAAACCTTCATCAGTCTGTTCTGAGTATTTTTTCTACATAAAATAATCAAACACACAGACACAGACACACACAGTACTGCACTTGGGTCCCCATGGAGTACAGAATAAGACTCTATCATGGCCTTGGAAGTCCTATAGGAGCCCGCAACCTTCTATTCTATAGCTGGGGAGACTGAGACCCACCAAGGCAGAGGCAAGAATAAAGCCTTGGGTCAGTAGGGTCAGCTGCCTACTAGCCTACCCCAGCAGGAGTTGACCTTCTTATCTACCTCTGAAGGTAATTATCCCTACAGGCTTTAAAATGGAGGCTTGTGTTGAACTCCTGCTGTATACCACTCTTCTTGTGGACCACTGTTTGCCAAGGAAGGACCCTAGACTGAGGTAGCCCACCATCCTCCAACAACCCAACCAGCGACTAGCAGGGAGACCTTGTAGGAGTTATAAGCTACCATTTGCCCATTTTTTTTGTCTTTTTTGAGACAGGGTCTTCCTGTAGCCCCAGCTGTCCTGGAACTCACTATGTAGACCAGGCTAGCCTTGAACTCTTAGAGATCCGCCTGCCTCTGCCTGCAGTGCTGGGATTAAAGGCGTGTGCCACCACGCCTGGCCATTTGCCCATTTGTAATAGCTACTATTCCCCACACTGAGAAGAATGAGTTTGACTCCATGTTAAGTGGTTCAACTTATTTGAATCTGACTTCTCAATACATGGACTATTCTAGTTTTTAGAGTACTCGGATCTGAAATCTTAATGTTGAATATTCTGATTTATTTACTGAGTGCTTGTTATATGCAAAGACTAGTCTCTCACCCTTTCTAACTGCCACTAATTCTAGTTCTAATGCTAATAATATGCTGATACCAATAGTAATAATATTACCAATAGTAATATCAACTCCAACTTGATATTAGTACTAATGCTGATTTTTTTTTTGTCTTTTTTGAGACAGGGTTTCCCTGTAGCCCCAGCTGGCCTGGAACTCGCTATGTAGACCAGGCTGGACTCGAACACACAGAGACTAGCCTGCCCCTGTATTCATTCTAAGAACAATAACCCCAATTCTCATCTGTCCTCCATGAAGGGATCTAACTCAGGGCCTTGCTTATTCTAGGCATATGTTTTACCAATTGTTCTACACCCCCAGTCCCTGATTCTGATATTAGTGCATTTACCAGCATGAACATACCAGCAGGAGCAGCATTATTTGTTGGCAGAACACAAGCATTGTGCTGTGCTAAGTGTTTCCATGAATAATTTTATTCTCTTCTCACCAGGTCTTTATGGTGTATAACCACCCCCACCTTTCAGACTGAGTAGGGGCACAGCACTATTCAAGGTCCCGGTTCTTGTCTCAACTCTCATGCTGATTGACCGCTTAATTCCTGGGCAAGTCACCCTCTGTGCTTTGGCTGTTTTACCTGAAAATGGTATAATCACAGCCCCCACCCTTTACCCCACACCAAATGTAACCACTCAGCACAGAGCCTGCCTGGCACCCCATGAATGGTGTTCTTTGTAAACAGTAATTCTCAACATTGTCATTATTGTTGGCAACAGAAGTTTCAAGGTCGGGAGTGACATGGGGGGAGCCTCACTGGGAGGGACAGCCTGGAGGCATGTCCAAGAAAATAGTGTGGTGCTAAATTTACATCCCATTTCTTCATTCTGGAGGTGACAATGGGTTCAGTAAAGGAAGTAAAGGGTGGGGAGTGGGGTGCCTCTGAGGCCAGGCCTCACCCCATTCCCTCCCCCATCCCTGTGGAGAGGGTGCAGGCCCAGAAGTCTGTGGCCACAGTTCAGCCAGCAGGGAGGCAGCTGGGAAGGCATAGATAAGGGAATCAGTGGGGGCCAGACCAAGGTTGGGGGAGCCCAGTGTGGGTGGTGGAGGGGGTGGGGTGTCCGGGTCATAGCGTCTTCTCTGTCAAGCTTCCATTTGAGACCCATGGCAATGTCCTCTCTTGCTGGAAGCCTTCCTTAACTGTTCTCCTCCCTCCTGGCATCTTTTGAGGTTCTGGAGCCCCTACTTGATTCAGGTCATGGCACTGGTATATCTATGCCTTTTCAGGATTGGAGTTTCCCAGGGTGGGATGGAGTACAACTCACTTTGGTATGAATACACCAGAGAGAAGCAGCAACGAAAACCTGGGCAAAGAGTCACATGTTTAACTTCAGAATGAAACTGTTGATTATTATTTCAAGGATTATTTTTAATTGAGACATAACAACTATACATATTTATGGGACACAGCACGACCATTTGATACATTCACATAATATGCAAGGGTTAAATTGAAGTAATTAGCGTATCCAGTTCCTTAAACACCAATGGAAGCTAAAAAAAATTGATCACAGCCAGGCATAGTGGCGCATGCCTTTAATCCCAGCACTCGGGAGGCAGAGGCAGGCAGATCTCCGTGAGTTCAAGGCCAGCCTGGTCTACATAGTGAGTTCAAGGCCAGCTGGGGCTACAGGGAGACCCTGTCTCAAAAAGACCAAAAAAAAATTGATCACATAGAACAAAAACCAGAATAATGGTCAGTAGAGGCTGGGAAGGGGAGGTTAGAGAGGAAAAATATATTCTAGTGTTCCATAGCCCCGTAGGGTGACTAGTTTGCAACAACCGATTAAATACAATATATACATATTTGTTGTTTTTGTTGTTGTTATTATTAGGGCTTTTTGAGACAGGGTCTCACTATGTAACCCTGACTGGTCTGGAATGTAGTATGTTGACCAGGTTGGTCTTGATATCACAGAGAGAGATTCACCTACCTCTACCTCCCAAGTGCTGGGATTAAAGGCTTGTAATCACCATGCCAGGCTGTTGTCATTATTTAATGATGAAAGAAAATATCATGAAGCTGGACATGGTGGCAAATGTCTGTTATATCAACACTTAGGAGGTGAAGGCAGGAGTATCAGGAGTTCAAGGTCATCCTTAGCTACATAGTGAACTTGAGACCACCCTGAGATACCTGAGACCTTGTCTCAAAAAAATAAAAGTCACAGCAAGGCAAGGAGCAAAGTAATACAGTGATTGTTCTGTTTATACCCTTCCCACTGCTCTATACTATTGGCTTTCTTCCTTTGTTTTGTTTTGTTTGGTGTTTTTGAGACAGAGTCTCCCTGTAGTCCCAGCTAGCCTGGAACTCACCTATGTAGACTAGGCTGGCCTTGAACTTTCAGAGATCTGCCTGCCTCTGCCTCCCAACAGCTGGGACTAAAGGCATGCACCACGACGCCCAACAGTCTTTTGTTCTTTGTAACAGAACACATCAGGTTGAAGCTAACCAACTCCATAAAGCTACCACTGGCTTTTATAATTCTTGGAATTCTTTAGTTTTTTAACTCATTCCCAATTTGTAATTTAAATCACACAAATGAATATGTATTTTTTAAAAAAGGAAAGAAAAAGAAAAGATGAAAATAGCAGGTTACAAGTAGGATGTAGGGAAAAAACAAAAAACAAGTAGTAGGTAGAGAAAAACAACTTTCCACAAAAAATTTTAAGTATGCTGGGCACTGTGGCGCATGCCTTTAAACCCAGCACTCGGGAGGCAGAGGCAGGCAGATCTCTGTGAGTTCAAGGCCAGCCTGGTCTACATAGTGAGTTCCAGGACAGCTAGGGCTACAGGGAGACCCTGTCTCAAAAAAACCAAAAAAAGATTAAGTATTAAACTTGCATCTACAAAATTGAAATGAATGGGGCTGTAGCTCAGTGGTAGAACTGTTGCTTAGAATTCACAAGGCCCTGGGT